TCATACTTAAATAGAATAAATGTTTGAAAAGAAAATTTGCCCTGAGCGGGATTTGAACCTTGGACCTTATAGAAGTGGGGTTATAGGCTTCCCCTACCCTGTCACCTTGAAAATTAAGTTTCCCGGGAGACCACGTCTCCGATCACGTAAATCACATCTTCGATTGCCGTGTTGCCAACATGGTTGTCCTGATAGTGTAGTGGTCATCACACCTGGCTAGTAACAGGGGGACGTGGGTTCAAATCCCGCTCAGGGCAAATTTTCTTTTCAAACATTTATTCTATTTAAGTATGAATATATATATATATATATTACATATATATAACTGCAGATATATATCACGGTAGACATTGCAGTATTTGAAAAATAAGTTATAATGCTGACGTCTATTAAATCACCATACCTCACAATACACACATCACATTCTAAGGTTTAGTTGCAAAACTAAATCACTAGTTGGTCCCCCGCGTATTCCCTTGCTCGAGGCTAGTTGTATGAACTAACTTTGAGTTCGAAAAGTGCACAGTCGAAAAGAGCAAAAAAATTCATAAAAACTTGAGCCAGTTAATCCGTGACACAATAGTTCTATGACATGGGGGTATTTCTTTGATTAACCTTTAATTAACATAAAGATGTTCCGCTGCAGAGAAAGGTATCTTTTATAGGCTCGGTGATATACAGAGCTAGTCGGAGTTGACATTTAGCAATTGTTTGCTTAAAAGCATTACGCCACCTAGTTATCTACTAAACACATATGTTGTCTCTCGCTTCTCATTACTAAAATTAATTTATATTCACTCTGGGAATGCGTGAAGGACTGGGTTTTCGCCAAAAGTGGGACTTGGTTGTGACATCCTCCAATTACAAGGATCTATGAGAGGTGTGACGATAGGCATCATGATGAAGCCCTCGTCCTTATTAGATCAAACATGGCAGTTTTAAGGGCAATCGATTTCTGAACATTTTTCAAGGCATTAGTTAGAAGTGTAGCTAACAAGCCTAAAAAGGCGGGAAATATCCAAGGGTTTTATTGGAGCGTGCCTCAGAAAATTGCCTTAGAGGTTTTTAGAGCGTCAAGTAACTCTCATCTTAAAAGTCCAGTTAAATCAAGGAGGAAGTGGCGTGGCCGAGTTGTTAGGGTGCTGGACTTGTAATCTGGTGTCCCGGGTTCAAATCCTCCACCCTGCCACTCACTGGATTTGTTCTCGGTTGCCCCTAGTTCAACTCCTCGGCTGCGCTCTGTAAATAGCCCACTGGTCTGCCTGTGGGGATTTTTAGGCTCTTAGTTAGTCTACATTGTGGCTGAAAAGCCCGTAAGGGGGAGCCTCAATTGACGTATGTTATATTATATGAATTATGTTGTTTGTAGGGATCAGGTTACCCTTGTGATGGTGTGCTTGAAGGATCAGAAAAGTCTTCATCAGAATGAAGTATGTTATGATTTTGTATGCGTGGTTTTCAACGGCTTCAACGACACGATGTCATTTTTCAAAGTAATTTATATTCCTTCAGATTCTTTCGCATAAATTTGCTCTGCATAGATCATTCTCATATCTTAAACCGTATGACTTTTTTCGGCTTTTGCGCCAGTGTTGATGATGATGGAAGTCTTTATTATTATAGATCAAACTAAACACTCGCAGACACACGTGAAAGTTTAGAATGCATCCACACAAACATTAAACTAAATAAAGTTAAAAAGAGACCTATTTATAAAACAGCACTTAAAACGCTCTGTGTATACGTCGCGGTGTGTTCACACGGCAACGTATACACGTCAGCATCGGTTACGTTTTCCCACTTCCCTTTTCTGTCCGTCAAGAAGGTCAGATATATCAGGATCGTGAACAAAGATATTCTTCCGTCACATCACGAGCGTGGGACAAAGAAATATCTCTTAGTTGTCATGAGGAATCGACGCTCTACCACTGAGCCACAGAGAGTTTACGCTGAGCTAGGTTTCTGCTAGGTTCATATGTGGCGTTCTGCATTCAGCTAGGTTCAACAATGTCGAAAGCTCCCGCGTTGATTAATAGATTAAGAAAGATGGTGAATTTTAGGCTCGATAATGAGATGAAACAGTCTGTTTTTTCGTCCGCGTGATCATCCACTTGCTCTGTTATACAGATTTTCCCAGACAAATTCATGCGTCGTGAAATACTTGCTATCGTCGTCCACTGTACATTCATGGAGGATGGGTGTATTTGGAAAGGAGAAGTGAGATATTTAGAGGTATGTCTAGTATTGGGTAGTCTCGGATAAACTACTAATTTTATTCATACGTTGAGTATCTATTTTTGCAGCTAATTCAGTGATGATTGCGATGTATTGACGACGTCAGTATTGCCACCTATTAAGATAGAACGAGCCTTTATGCCTCTACTGAGTCTAAGAGACGGGAGTTCAAAGTGAACTCAATTATTTCAAGCTGTTTTCTCTTGGCCGTGGCAGCTCGAATTACCGGGGTTCTTCTGTAGCTGATTGTAAATAACGGCGAACTAAATGTAGTTTGAGTTAACACGCGGTTCGAATATCGAAAGTTTCAATCAGCGACTTGCTATGGTATGCATCAACTTAAACACAAGACAGGGGAGCATCTTGTCACAAGAGTCGTAACTTCTGCTTTCCTCTACTTTTCATGTAGTAAAAATAAATGATGTAACTGCACATGTCTAAATATTTACAAACAGAGCCATATGAATACGTGCGAGTTCCTGAAGATACCTTGTGTACATCCTGAGTGTGGCGTGCTGGTAAAAAAATCAGAACTTACTTTGCATTTGGAAAGAGAATGCATGTACCGATTGGAGAAGTGTACATTTTGCCAGAGACAGATAGTTTTGTCCAGGATGCGGGTAGGTTATGTGGACCATCAGAATGCCGCAATCCATCTGTTAAGGCCAAGATGTTATTTCATTGCCTCTCCTTATGATGAGAGGTTAACCGGCCCTTTCAATTCCTCATCCTTAGTCATGGCTGTCATCATGATTGCTTGCGTCTTTTATGCGCAAAAAAATAATTCATATTTAGTTGTTAACGGTAATCTTTAGCTTTACACAGTCTCGCTAATCTCAAGATGAATTTCTAGCTGACTGAAGCACATCAAGGAGAGACAATGTTTTCAGTAGAAAGCTCTTCTGTTGATAAATCTTCCACAAAAACCTATAAAAGATGGTTGCTTCACTATCAATGATGACCTCCCAAAGTCTTAGACATTAATAATAATAATAATAATAAGTTCTTATATAGCGCATTAAAATTGAACTCTATGCGCTTTACAATTACAAATTAACAAAATTTCAATAAAAATCCTATACACGTTGATGTTGGGTGCTTGGGCAGTATGGGAGTCCAAATCCGATCTTATTTTCTCAATTTTTTTGATAAAAAAATCGTTGAACGTTTCGGTCAATGTATCCAATGAATCATTATTAGGGAGTGCAGCAATGTTCTTCGATAAGAATAGGCGAGATACCATCTTGAATAGTTGTGATTGGTCAGAGGAGCTGATCAGAGTCCGATAATAGTTTGTCTTTGTCGCTGTTAGAAGATCATTGTAGTGTTTGCAGGAATCAATAAATATTTCGTGGTGAATTTGAAGACCAGATGAAATATATCTTCTTTCATGACGACGTTTGTCTTGTTTAGCCTTACGAAGTTCATCAGTATACCAAGGAGAATGCGGTCGCAGAGTGACCCATCTCTCGTTCACAGGAGCATGTTGATCAAAGATAGACGAGAGATTAGTATTATATTGTGTAGTCAGCTCAGTTACACAAGACTGTGGATTAGTAATGAGATTAGATTCTTCGATGTCTTTGATCATACTAGCTAAATCAAGCCTTTTGGTGTTTCTGTGTTTAACATGTAGTGTAGAAGGTTTCGGTTTTGTACATTTCACCTTACAAGTAACCAGATTATGATCTGAAATATTGTCGGCTGATAGAATGCGAACATCCGTTATAACATTATTCTCTTCACGAGATAATATTAAGTCCAATGTGTGGCCCAGGCGATGAGTGGATCCAGATACATTTTGAATTAGATCAGTGGACTCAAGGAGATTTAGAAAGGAGGCAGCTTCAGGATTTGATAGATCATCAACATGGTAGTTAAAATCACCGGCAATTATAATGGGCTGCCTTGATAATGTAAGTTCTTCAAGAAAAGATGAGAATTCTTGCAAAAAGCTATTTCCAGTGTTGTTCTTTTTGCATAGAGGAGGGCGATAGAGAACAATTAAACGGAATGTCTCACTTTTGTTGGATATGCTCACATCTAAGTACTCAAATGAGCTTGTGTTCATGATGGAATTTTGCAGTACGGTATAACCATCTCGTATCAACAAAGCGACTCCGCCGCCCTTACGATTCCTTCTTGGTATGTGGTGGAGTTTAAAATGCGGAAGAATGTTGTTGATGTCAGTAATAACATGGTTGTCATCCTCGGTTCCTTTAAGCCAAGTCTCTGTTATGGCCAGGATGTCTAAATGGTGGGAGATGACCAAATCGCATAAATGAGTTGATTTTTTAACAATCGAACGCACATTGAGGAGAGCAAAATTACTGGTGGATTTGGTTCTCGGTAGATGGCCAACGCGTGTGATAGAGATGACATTGTTGATGTTTCTTGAGTAAATTTTCTTTGATGGTCGTCGATGCGTAGAAACAATGGTTGGAATGTAATAATATTGAGAATCTTCGTTTTGAATAATTAAATCTTCCTTCGATTGAGAAATTGCTCCAAAGTCAAATTGTGACGATAAGAAACTTATTTCAGGACCAGGGTTAGAAGCAATGTCACCAGCTAAAGTAAGACGAGCTTGGTTGAAGGTGGCAGTTGAGTTAGCGTAGTATTTGACTTTGGATGCGTTGTAACCTTTAGGTCGTAGACAAACGAAGCGAGGCCGATTAGATGTTGAATAACAAGGTAGTAATACAGCAGAAATCCACTTGTTAGGATACAAACAATGATTCTTGCAAATATAATCCAAAGAGGAAATGTTTAGGCAATCCATATGTCGTTTTTCAATTGAAATAATATAAAGAACTGTGAAAAAAATAAAGAAAATCAAGCAGCGATATGAAGCACGTCCGTTACCCATAATTTATTCCTGGATTACTGTTAGAAGAGATGTAAGCTTAAATCTTTCTAGATTTTTTGTATAATTTGCTGTAACTGAGACTTTGCTAATCCCGTGAAGTTATTTCGTCGCACGGGCCACGCAGGTATGTCGAGCAACTGTCATATACCACACATATTACCCACAACCATATAACGTTTCAAGGCATGAAACCTTTGATATAGCCATTTTCCTGTGGAACGTGTTTTCTTTTTATCAAAATTTAAAAATCGCTTGAATATCTGAGCAATAATTTTATCAAGGTTCCAATTTTTTTAGTACACTAACTTGTTGAGAAATGTATTTTTGTTTCGACAGGAACACCAAGAGAAAGAATGTCCTTCATGTCCAGTTACATGTGAAAAGTGCAATAAGGATGGAATTCAACGGAGCAAAGTAAGAAAACATCCCTCTCAGTTAAAATATATTGTCTGTAAACTACTGAGATGATTTTTAGTGAATTGAAATTTAAAATTATCCAAGATTTCGTGCAAGGATGTTTGCCCCATTCCTGATTACTCGTGTTTTTTTGTGTTAAGGCCCTCTACCGTTTTCAATGTTAACACCAGTGTTCAATGTAACAGTGATTAGAATTACCAGTGACTATGTCCTCTCCTACTCCAATACCGGCTAAACAAAGGTACGACAAAGCGCGGGGGAGAAGTAGACCTGCTTTTGATTCTTAAATGTAGCGACTGATGAACAGACTTAATGATGTGAGCGAAGATAGTTCCGAGACGTGCGAAGGGAGAGAGAAGGGAGGCAGCAACACAACGTATTTTTTAACTGGAAATTCCAAATAGCTGTTGTCAAAGGTGTCCACCGTCTCTAAAAATTTGGTGTAAATATTAAGTGGCTTATAGGATTTGGAGATATTAAATTTCTACCGCTTCTATAGGGCATTATATCAAATTTAAGATCTTCTGTAGGACAAATATGTAAAACAGAATCTTTTTTCACATTCACAGTTACCTGGCAAAATGGTGACTCAGTCGCCCGTTTTAGGTGTTAGTTAGCGTGTGTATATGAAGATTAATTTGATAAATGTTGTTTTTTAGTTGAAGGATCACCAGAATGCTATTTTTGGCGACTGTGAAGCCGTGCAGGGACCATGCCCCTTTTCTCAGATTGACTGCCCTAAAACAGATGTAAGTACACACTCGACTTTGTTTGCCTGTTAGTTACTGCATGATATGATAGTTACAATGATGTTTTTCGCCACTGTGGAAAATTTTCGAATAAGGTCATCTTCGAGTAGGAATAAATGGAAAAGTTCGTTCGAGAGATCTAAAAACAATGATTACCGTTTTCCATCGAAACTAGTCTTCTTCAGGTGAAAAGGTCGAGAGGGAACGTGTCACATTAAAAACTGTTCTGCTCAGATTGCTCTGGCATGTTTCGGCGAGTTTCCTTAGCGGTTGGCTGTTGTACGGCGATACTACTGCTGAATTTTTTCATTGTCCCTTTCTATGCTTCTGAGATTTCTATTCCACTGTTTCCGTTGATTTTGTAAAGGTGAATTCTTACTTGGATCGCCTTTCACTCTGCGTGTATAGTGGGAATCGCCATCAATAAAATTAGTAACCTTTACTTCTTTCCAGAGCGGGTGGTGTTCATTTTTGTGTTGTTTGTGCGCGTTCTGAAACGGCGGAGGTTTGTTTCCTTGCGAGTCGGATATCCTTGTAATGCTCCTTGATTCTTTCCTGCATAGGTCCGTGAGTCTCAGCGGTTTAGATTGTGTCGACCTATAGGGTGTCCTGTGAGCCCCGCCATCTTGCTTAGCCGGGTCAACAGCATTTTTAAGCCTCACTAGGAGGGATCGGAACGTGGTCTCCGACTTTATAGGGAAAGCTTGCAGTGGACTTGAACTCGGTGGGCGGTTAAGCACTCTTCACGAAAGAGGAAGGATAACCGTCAGACGTATTAACAGATGACAGCTGTTGCTCTTCGTGGAGATAACAAATGGTTTTGTTACGAGACGTTTGCCGCGCTCGTATGGACACATGTTAACAGCGCGCTTTACTAATTGTATTGGTCAGTGTGCGTAGGCATCCTATGCACGCCCTTTAGTTAGGCGTCTCTCGGGTTCTCTTGAAACTGCAGTGTCGAAGAAGTTCAGTTTGTATTTGCTCTCTATCTTCATGGCGAGGCGAATGTACGGATGTTGGTGGTTTAAATGTTGTAAGAAGCCACTGACGTTCCCTCGTGAAATTTGTTCTCAAGACAAATTTCAGGAGGTCGGCGCCTAAGTCTTGGTGCCGAGAGGTTGGGTAGGCTAGCGTCATACTCCAGTTTTTGTGGAGCTGTGTCGATCGAAACGTTGGAAAAAATTTACTCCATGTCGAAAAACTGATGATGGATCCGAAGTGGGCGGGGTTGATCGCCGTAAAATCCGAGCTGATTGTTAAAGGAGACGAGATGTTAACTAAATATGCGGAAAATCATGACTTTTTGCAAAGTTTTTCATAATTTGTCTTGAATGTATGTATATCAGCCCCATGAATGGTCGGTAAACCGTAGATTCTAGGCAGCTGTTTGTGTCGAGGTCTGAACCTGTTGTAGACGGCTTCTAATAGATATCCGCTTCGCTTCAAGGTTACCAGTTTCTCAGAAAGCTTCCTCGTCCGACGTTCTGTCGCGAATCTTTGTTCAAGAGCTGATACGGTCCGTTTTCGATCGGGTAAGTCATCTTGGCCTGATAGGTGTCAGTGTTTAGGACTACGTCAGCACGTTTTTTGTTTGCTGCGAGAATCTGGATGGAGTGGTCCTCTTTCAGGTGTTGAAGCGCTTCTTGCTTTTCCTTCGTGATGTTAGACTCTTGTTATTTCGCCTTTTAAAGGTACCGTTAACAGCTCTTCTGAAGGTGTCTGCTTGTTAGGGGTCGAGCCCTCCGATCGCTTACTCAACCTGGCGGTGATTTTGGTGGAAGATGTGTTTTCAGGAGTTACAGCAAAGTTCGACCTCTTCTTTAGAGAGTACCTTATCGCCTGAAGTAGACTAGCATTATGTAGTCAAATCGCAATCCACATCCAAAGTGAGACAAACGATAAGTGAAAGACTCAATCTCCGTAAATTCATTTCTTAAACTTGTAAATTACCCAGCTCGTTTTATAAAGAGGCCTTAGAGCTTTCAAATATTATGTCTATCAATGACTACATCGCTAGCTTATGTAAAAAGACCTTCCTCTCGAATGCTAATGACCCGGCCCATCGCCTACACAAAATGCTTCAATCGTCAGGGCCGTCGTGTTATAATCTCCGGTGCAAATAATTATTTTATTAAAAACGTTAAATTAAATTATTAAATTTTACTAAATATTTAGCTCCCTTTTAATTTTAAGCTGACGCGTACGCTTACCATATTTATAGATTATGGTATATTGGCTGATATACCATAATGGCTAAGCCAATAAAAAGTCTTGAATTGCATTATCCAGTCTTTAATAAAAACATATATAACTGCAGACAGTACTGTTTCGGCTTTCTGGGCCTCATCAGTGCAGTGCTGATTCTAGGATGGGGGTGAAGTTATAAAGCCACCCCAAGTGACTCCACATATATAAACGAATAAACAAGAAATAAATTGTTTCACTTATCCTCGGAGTGCTCCATGCAGAAATGCGCAGAGCAAAATACAAATGTGAAAGAAGGAAATTATTACTAGTTACTCCGGTTTACTTCTCGTAGACAACTCTTAGTCTGATGATCGCCTAGAGCGTGAAACTCGAGTAACTAGTAATAATTTCCTTCTTTCACATTTGTATCTATATTTATTAAAAACTGGATCATTGGATAATGCAGATCAAGACTTTTTATTGGCTTAATCATTATGGTATATGAGCCAATATACCATAATTTAATATCTGTACATTG